AAATCAAAAGCTTTTTCTTTTAGTTGCTTTCAATTGGCCCCTAGTACACTTGGGCTGTTGGGCTGCCAACATTTGAGATCGTTTGCTCTATTTTCACTTCCTTCTTTTTTGTGGGTACTTTGGAATTCTGAATCTTGTTAGGGCCTTTTCTTTCAATGTTAGTGCCAAATAATTCGAAGGCAACCTTTCTATTCTGTCATGCAACTTCTTGGCAAGAATCATCCCTTGGATTTTTCATGTATTGCATGTTATATTTTCTTTTTTTGGTGAAAGCACGAACATAAGGGGATTTTGGGTGTACAAGATAGTTTCTTCCAGTAATGTTGAGGAATTTGCTGTTTGCGGAATATATATATATATATATATAATGTGGTAAGAAATCATTTGTTTCTGTCACCAGGTCTCCAGATATACCAAAGATTTTCATTTTAAACTGACCTGAGATTAAATCCTTCTGAGAAATCGTTGTTTGCTTCTGTGGAGGAAGCATAGATGGAGGAGTTACATTATTTATTGCCTTGGACATTTAAAGAACGGGAAGGTGTTATTTGCATGTATTTCTTGACGTAGTTGTCTGTGTGCAAGTCATAAATATGATTTGGAATATAATAATTTTATGTCTTTGTTAGGTAGTTCAGTTTAAAATTTGTAAGTAGCGAGAAAATAAACTAAATCATATTAACTGATTGGACCAATATATATTATATCATATATCTTATATATTATTATATACATTAGTTATATATAGTGCATGTATTCTTTATATATATAATACCTCAGATGATAAGGTGTAATATTTGGGAGTGCAAATGAGAACTAATACTCAAGTGTGTAAATTGAACAACTTAATAAAACATTAAAATGAGAATCAAAGAAAATAGCACGTATAATCCGAATATAGATATATATATATATATATATATTTACTTAGATGTGTATGTATATACTGAGAAGGACCATCAAAATGTAAGATAAAATTGATAGATGTGAAAAACTTGGTGGCCAAAAGAAAAGGATTATACATGAAGCAACTACAAAAGCTGTTATTTGTCCATTATAATTTGTGGGTGTCATAACCGAATTGATTCGTGATTCCTATCACACTCTTCACCAACCCTCAAACGAATAACTGCCTCTCTCTTTTTCCATTTACAACAAGAGACAAATATATATATTCTATATATATATGTATATATTTCATTTGCATATTATAATAATCCATTGTTATTTTTATTATTCCCCCTCAGCAATACCTTTTAATTGCCTTTTTTGTGGTAAATCTGTAATGTAAAAAAGTATCCTTTTCCATCACCCACAACTTTTCTTTAAACTCTTTTTTTACCTAATACCCCTTCCCTGTAAAGTTCCATCAAGAACATTACTGAAGAATCCGATCAATTATATATAAACATGTTCTTTATATACATGTAAGTATATTTGTGTGTTTATAAGAAAGGGTGTAACTTACGATACCCATCACTGTCTCGAGCGTGAAAAAGCAAAAAAAAAAAAAAAAAAAAAATGAAGCAATATTTTGAAGTTTGATTCCAAAGAATAGAAAAGGAAGGTTAGCGATTAGAAACGAAAGTCAGAATGCAATATTGCTATCTCTCTCTCTCTCTCTCTCTCTCTTTCAAAGTTGGAGAGACCTTCCACTTGGTGCATTCTTATTTCGCACAAGAAAATTCATCTTGTCCGAGTAGTATTCCCTTGCACGACATTCTCCATTCATATATGCTTGGATTTCCATATTTTTAAAGGGAATGAAGGTAACTAGACACTTATATCGAATATGGTAA